AAGAACATTACGCTAACCAAACTGAAACAAAAATAGCAAATTTGTAGACCCGGAGAATAAGATACTATATCTTTCTCAGAGAAGGCAGACTAATGTTATGAACATTTCCATTTCATCACATGCAGGCGCCTTGACCTGCCAAGATCAACTCCAGCACAGAAAGGAGTTCTCAGCTATGGCAAATTTAATCCTTCACCTTCCCACAGAGGTTGCCGGCAGGATTTTTGTGATATGTGTTTGCCAGAAATAAAACTCCTACAGATGCTAATGATGTTCCCCAATCAATAAAAAAGGCAAAATGCCAAGAAAAATACATTATAAAAGGAAACTGACTAAAAGCACTGCAACTGGATAGTTCTTGACCCTTCAGATTTGAAGTGGAGGAATTGTTTTGGGGATCTCATGCTAAGTACCAAGACCTACAGATAAACAGCTAATTTTGGAATTCTCTTCCCAACCCTGCAAAATCCTCTGTTCTTTCAGGCTTGTGTTGTGGCTCTTGCAACTTTACTTTTCAGCCTTTTTCAACATGTTCTGAAAAACTGTGTGTCCCTCAAAAACATCTAAACAGATAAACGTAATTTCTGAAAATTACAGAGGTGACCATTTTGGTTTGGTTTTTGTTTGGGTTTTTTGTTTTTTTTTTTTTTTTTTTTTTCAATAGCTACAGTTAAAGAAACTGAATAGATCAGAAAATGAGTACAGGAGGCAATTTGGCTTCTAGACTGGCAGTTCAAGTCTCTCCCTTGTTTACAGATAATGAAGAGAGTTAACATCCTCCCGATCTTAAGAATAAAGATCTTCATTTTTAAGAGGTAGCATCCTACAAAATAAGTCCTCACAAACACACCATAAAAATGGGATACTCTAATAATAGCCCTCCTTCTCCTGCAGAACGCAGGTACAGCTTTAGATGGATCTTGAACTGCCATCACAGAAAAATTACTAAAACACAGGATGCAAGTTTTTTTATCTGTAACTGCAAAAACTAAAGGACCATTAGTCAGAAGCAGCTTGAGAAGATTATTTTAAGCATTGAACATGGGATAAAGATGGAGGAAGGAACATAGTTTTTCCTTGTTTTAAGGCAGATAAATAGTGTAAAAAAAATAGTATAATGCCATTATGTTAAAAAAAATAGCATTTTACTATGCTATATACTAAATTATAACAGCTTACTGTAATAAAAAAAACCCTCAAACATAACATTTCAAGATATGGGACTTTATCAAACAAATTACCATCAGAAAAGTTAAAAGCAACATGAATGAAGATGTTTTTAATAAGACTAACAAGATTTCCATGTGTGTATTCCAGAAACTGAAACCAGGAAGTATCTGTCAAATTGGCACTGAGTTCACCTATGGCACTACACAGCTGAACTGCTAAGTTCTACATGAGCAAATCTGACTTAAGCACTTGATGCTAACACAGGAGCATCTTCTCTAACAGTCTGACAGCAGTGGAAATTACTACTACAAGGAGACAGCAGATAATAAATTTTTAATGAAATCCACTATCTTAAAATAACCATTAGCACGAAATAGCTTATGACAGTCTGTGGACTACATTTAAAAGAACCTTAATCACTATTAAAAATTAATTAAGAAAAACAGGCTTCTAATTAGCAGGCTTCAGTTCACAGAGATCCAGATCTCCAAACCAGTTAGCAATCATTAAAAACAAAATTCTGGAAACCATCTGCAACCCAAATCGCCCCTGTTTCTCAAGCCAAATAATTGAGTTTACCTTCGTAAAAAGAGAGCGAACACCCCCCGTCATCCTCCCCCCTGAGCTACTGGAATAAACAGCGTCTCCCCTGCCCGGGAGACGTTATGTATTTCTGGCGCAAGGCGAGAAACCGCCCCAAACCCCCTTAAAAACAAAATTCTGGAAACCATCTGCAACCCAAATCGCCCCTGTTTCTCAAGCCAAATAATTGAGTTTACCTTCGTAAAAAGAGAGCGAACACCCCCCGTCATCCTCCCCCCTGAGCTACTGGAATAAACAGCGTCTCCCCTGCCCGGGAGACGTTATGTATTTCTGGCGCAAGGCGAGAAACCGCCCCAAACCCCCGGCCCTCAGGGAAGGGAGCTCCCAGCCC